GATTGACAAGTGCCTTCTAGGAAGTCAGCTGTGAGCACAACAAGGTCAGAGCTTTGCAAATGATGCACTGATCTTAAAGCCTCTGCTTCAAAGTGACATCTCACTGCTGGTCACACTTCATTGGTCCAAGTAAGTCACACAGCCTTGCAGAGACTCTTGTTGGGTAGTACAAATGATTGTAAGGCTGGAAAAGCCAGAGGAGGAACCAGGACATTTTAATTTTTTATCTAAAGCTCTTTTACTATGCCAAGATTGTCATATCTTTCTCCAGTTCATCTGGATACCCTACTGACTTGTCATCTTCTTGAGAGGACTATGTGTCTGATGCAAAGTTGAACCTGGGAGGCGTCTGTTCCTTTTTTGTTGTAAATGCTGGTTTTCTGGCACAATTCTTTTAAAATGCTGTCACAACAAAGGAGTCTTACAAAACGGGATGGTTTTTGTTTTGTTTTGTTTTGTTTTCTGGCACCAGGGATTGAACTAAGGTCCTTGTGCTTTCAACACAAGCAGTGGAACCACTGAGCTAACTCCCTAGCCCCAGGAAGGGTTGTTATTGAGTTTATACAATACTCAGTTTACATACTAAAACTTTTTCTTTTTATTATCTGATTGCTCCTATATGCCTTCTGGTTTGTAATACTCATTTATTTTTCCTGGTCTACCACAGTGTGGGAGCCATAGTGTTGTCAAGGCAAATACAGTACAGAGGAGTCTATGGGTTTTTCTTACTCTAGTGATTGATGATATTTGTGACTCTTTCTCTCTTTTTAAATTCCAATTGTTCATTAATTCCACAAATTACTGAATACTGGCATTGTTCTGAGGGTTGTAAGAATGATTCAGGTAACAAAATTCACAAAATGTGTCATGATGTAGTTGCTCAAAACTTGTAATGTGTTGTGTGGGTATGTGTGTGTGGAGTGTGTTTACATTTTGAAATCAATATAGGAGAATGATTAAGAGCACACATTCTGGAATCTGACGGGCTAGGTTAACACCTACATGCCCTCACTTAGCATAAGTCCTAAAATTTCAGGCCATTATATTAAGATCTGTGGACCTTAGCTTTCTTATCTGTTAGTTAGGGATAATAACACTGCCAAACTCTTGGGCTGTAGTGAGAATTAGTTGAAATAAGATGTGTAAAGCTTTTACCTGGACCTGGCTGGGAGGAAGTCCTTGGATCAGGTTGCTATTATTGTTATCAGAATGCTTACTAGAGGACAGGAATGGCACTTGACAGGAAGAAAGAATAGGCTTTGAACCTCAGATCAAAGTGCAAATTTGGGCAAGTTGCTCACTGCTCTGAGCTTTATTGCTTCAGTAATATGAGAGAGTCCCCTTCATCTTGCAGGGTATTTGGGAGACCCCTAGGGCTACAATGCTACACCACGTTACATGGCGCTTGTCATGTCAGAGACAGTTCCAGGTCTTTTGGAAGCTGTGAGGCGTATGGTGATGAGCAAAGAGGCGTCCTCTGCCTTGCCTTCCAGCAGTTTATCATCTCATTGCAGGGATAAAACACATTCACATATAACTTTAGTTAACCCAAAATGGTGAGTGCTGTAAATAACTACATCTAACAGGCTGAGAAAGTCTGCATCAGATGCATTTCTGTAAGAGTTTCTGAGCTGAGCTACAGTTGGTGCCTCAGTTTATGAACTCATTTCTCTCCATGATTCTGGTTGAAAACTGAACTGGACAAGAACCAAATCAAATTTCCCCATACAGTCAAGATTGAACCTAAACATTGAATTTGATTTGATTCTTGTCCAACTCAACCCAAATAGTGGAAAGAATCAAGTTCACAAACCAATGTACCACTTATTGGCTTTGCTGAGGAAAAAAAATGCTTTTTCCTAAAAAGATATTTGGATGAACAAACACCCTTGGCTTCATTTCTCTCTCTTCCTTTTCAGTCCCTTCCTGATCTTGAAACCTGAGAATACCAATTATATAGAGAATAGAAATCTATTGCCTTTTCTGCCAGTACAGTTTGCTGCTGCACTGTGTGTTTTGATTGTAATGTTTACAGCAGCTCACTTAAGATTTAATTTGCTATAACTCTCTGAACTTTGAGTCCCTCATTTTTCATGTGTTGCCTGAGACTCAATTGCTCCAACCCCCTGGAATCACTTCTAGAAAGACTTACTTGATATTCAGAATCAATGAACAAACAGAAGAAATGTTTTACCAGAAGCAGGCCTCAAGTGAGGTGGGGTTTAACTTTGATTTTTAACAATAGTGCTATATGTGTCTTTCTGCCTCTTGTGTTCAATTGCATCTCTCCACCAATTAGTAAATAAGATGCCTTAGAGGTGACTGAACTCAGACATTCCTTCCTAAAGACGTTACAGTCTAGGATCCCTCTGGGTGCTGTTATTATTTCCTTTTAATCTTGGTGACTGGACATACTTGACATTAGACAAAGCCTATTTTTTTTTTTCCTTTTTACATGACTCTTGCCGGACATGCCATGTGACATGAAACTTCTCTAGAGAGATTTTACAGCCAGCCAGACTTTTCTTTGTCACATTGTCTGAGGCTTCAGAATTTGGGTTACTGTGCTCATCTATTCCCATATTCCCTGCCCTTTAGCCCCAGGACAGCAGGCTATACTTACTGGGGTAATTGGCTACTTTTTCATTGCTTTTCATTCCGTAACTCTTCTACTAAGGTGTTACTGGATTCATGGTCGTACTGCACCTATGACATTTTGATTATGGCTTGTCCCGTCACCGGCATTGGGAACACTCATTTTATACAATCTGACTATACCTCCTTAGCTGTGCTTATTGGTGGTAGAAATGGGGCACTGAGTCTTTTCTTTGAGATTTTGGATCTGGAACTGAGAAAGATTTGGTCCAGTCTCTGTTGGAACTGGAGCCACAGATGTGACAGTGATAGGTGTTGGATGTCAATTTTTTCCAAGAGGAACCAATGTGCAGGGAGAGAAAAACAGAGCAGACATATGCAGGAAGGAGAGTGGAGGGGTGGAGGGCCTGAGGACAGTTGGAGCTCTGGTTCCCCTTCTTCCTAAGCCCCAATGGTGCCTGTCTACTGGCAGAGTGGATTCTTCATTGGATACTAGCAGGTGCTCCTACACCTTTCCAGTTAATCTCCTGTTTGGCTTAGACTGGTATAGGTTGGTTCCTGTTTCAGATAATTAAAGAGTGCTGACTGGCATAGAGCTCTTCTTTGTTGAATTTCTGGGTTTATGCTTTTGATAACAGGTAACCAAGAGAGAAGTTAGGTTACTCTGCAGCATCCTTCCAACTTTAAAGGAACATGTTAAAACCTCAAGGATCTCAAAAGGAAATTAACAGTTACACACACCAGAATTTAAAGCAGGGTCTTGAATAGATACTTGGGCACCCATGCTTTTAAAACCATTATCCATACCCAAAAGGTAGAAGCAAAGCAAGGGTCCATTGACAATCGAATGGATAAACAGAATGCAAAATACACACACAATGGAATATTAGTCAATCTTAAAGTAAAACTAAAATTTTAATACATGCCACAACATGGATGAATGTTGAGAACATTATACTAAGTTAAATAATTTAACCACAAAAAGACAAAGATTATGTAGTCATCTTGTGTGAGGTACATAGAGAAATCAAATTCATAGCGATAGAAAGTAGAATGGCAGTTTTGAGGGAATGGGAGATTGGGAGAATGGAAGTTGTTCTTTATGGGTGTAGAGTTTTAGCTGTGAAATATGAAAAGAATTCTGGAGATTGGTTGTATAACAATGTGAATGCACTTAGCACTACTGAACTGTACACTTAAAATGGATATAGTGGTAAAATTTGTTATCTGTATTTTGTCACATTATTTAAAAATCACTACATTCCTTAAATAGCACTTTAAATTTCTGTAATATGGATAGAGATAGCAGAATTAATCTGGATTTAAGTGAAAAGCCCACATTCCATTCCTGGCTTTGAATTCAAACAAGTGTGACATCCAAGATTGGTTGATGTCCGTAAACCTCATCTGATACATATGTCCCTTGAATTCATTCATACAGGTACCTGCTGTAGGTTCTAGGTTCTATGCAAACTTCTGGGGAACAGAGATGAATAAGAGGTGGATTTCTGGGAAGTCTTGAGTTGTCTCTGGTCATCTCTGGATAAACCTAGCCCCGAGGGACTCAGCAGGTACAGCATTCCAGGCAAAGAAGCAGTGTGTCCAAAAGTCCAAGCAAACAGAGGCCTGAAGAATTCTGAGACTCACTGTAGAGTTGAAGCCAGGCAGCAGACAAGGACTGACAAGGAGAAAGGCTGAATAGGGAATTCAAAGCTGGATAGTGGGTG